ATTATAGTCTTTGAGGGGGATGGAGTGGGAAGGTAGAGGAAACAAGAAGCATACATCAGGACCAAAAATCACTTCATCTTCCTACTGGCTTGCCAACTTCATTTTGGTAAAACACTAGCAGAGGGCTTGGGGATGGTAGTGATGGTAGTGGAGTTGCTATGAAAATATACTACTGTAGTATATTTGCAAGAGTTTAATACAATCCATACCTCAGAATTGATAGAAGAGGCAAGGCTGGAGCAGAGGGTAAGGGATTCTAGTCTCTTCTACTAGAAGAGACTCATTTTTAACTTTTAATTTTTTTATGCACCAGCTGGCACCCTCTAATTGCTTTACAAGCAATTCTTAATCCTGCAAGAGGCTTCTCATGCTCAAAATTATCTCCAAAGGGCTGGTATCTTTTATTTGGCCTCAGTAAATATTTATCGTGTGCAGGTGGCAGGAGAAAGGGGAGGTCCTGATGGGGATGGCCCTACAGAAGGGCATTCCAGGCAGAGGGCACCAAAGTACAGATGCTTGGAGGCAGCAGCCTGCTAGGTAACAGCCGACAGGGCTGGAGCTATGCATGGAGCGGGAGAGACTGAATGAGAAGAGCTGACGAGAAGGGGGAGGACACAGAGCCTGTAGGATCGTAAAGGCCATGTGATGATTTGGGTTTTAAACAGAAAACTACTGAAGGGCTTTCAATAGCAGTGGATTTCTATTAACTAAGAGGCTGACTCAGTGCTGCTCAGGCGACAACCGAGAGAGGTTGGAGCCATTAGGGGTTACTGCAGGAGTGCTGGTGAGAAGTGGTCTCATTCTGGATTGATCTTAGAGGAAGTTTAGCCAGGATTTGGGGATGCATGGGGTGGCAGCTCTGGATGAAAGAAGGTACCAGGATTGACTGTAAGAGCCAAGAGCACCTGGTTATGGGAAGACCCAGGTTTGTGAATTGAAACCGAGGTTTCGAAGATTCTCTTTTTACATTTGAAACCAAAAGTCAGGCTGAGTGGGTAGCTGGAGGCAAAGATAAGACTAGTCTATTGAGGTAAGTTAGAAATCACCAATTAACAGATGCTATCAAAGCCACTAGACTGGATAGGGTTACCAAGGAAATTACTCTGGAGATCCCTTAAACAATTTGGCAGATTTATCATAAGGCAGCACTGTAAATCCTTCTGGCAATTGACTCATTTAATCTTTCCAACAACTCTAAAATAAAACTCTTTTATTATCCTAATTTTGGACACTGGGATAGACTTTTTAAAAAATATTTTGCTCCAGATTGGTGAGGGGCCGGGGGAGTTGTGGAAAGAAGAGGCTCAAAGCCTGAGCTCAGGCACTGCAGGGTGAGGAGGTCAAGATGAAAGGAACCAGCCAGGAGGCTAAAAGCAGCAGCAGATGAAGTGAGAGCAAACCAGGACTGTGGGGTCCCCCATATACATCACAGTTTCATTCACAATGTTGCAAAAGGGGGGTGGATTGATCGTGTGGATATTGCTGATAGGTCAGTGGCTAGGAGATGGAAAGAAAGAGTGGAAGAAAAGAATGGCATCTTTACTATCAGTAAGCTGGTTTTGGAATTAACTTCCACTTGTAATGCAGGCCACAAATCCCAGTAGTTCTCTCTGTAGTTGAGATCCTGTCACCAACAGAAACCCCAAAGGTTCTCATTGTTGGCACAGAAGTCTGTGCTCATCTCTGCTTCCAGATGACTTCCTAGACCCACTACCAGATACCAGACCTCATCATCTGGTGTGCTAATACAGACCAATGTATTCTTTTTACAATTAATTTTTAAAGATTTATTTTATTTGTGCATACAGAACTGGGGTATAGGCCAGAGATGCAGGGACGGTGAGAGGGTTCACCAGAGACAGAGTGGGGAGCAGAACAGACTGATGAAGTACA